ATTTCAGGGAAGTGGTGGGGGTACAGACTTCATTGATGAAGGCAGAAGACCCCTTGCTTGAAAATACGGTATGCAGATGCAGCCTAATCTGTAAGAAAAGAGGCCACTGGTATAAATAGAAGTCAGGGGCTAGGCTTTAAGAATACCTGGTGTCAGGCATGGCCTGAAACCTCTCAGTCTGAATTGTGGTATTAAATACAGGGCTGCAGTTTCCACGAGAACTATCCTTGTTTAAACATAATATTTTGTCCTAATATTCAGATTCTTCTCTATATTTACTTATTTATTTTGAGCTCTGGAAGTCTTGTTTATTATTGAGATTTAAAGATACTAAAATTACCACAAAGAAATGAGATTTCATCTTCAGATTACTGAAGAAGGAAGTGAATTGATCTGTGACTTGGAGGTTATCTCCTCCAGTTAATCATTGCTGACTCTGTGCTGCTTGCCATCCCTATAAATCACTATTAAACTAGGAAGAAAAGGGACATGTGCTGCATGGAGGTAAGCAGAAATAGACTGCATATTTCTAAACATGGTTGCTGAAACAGAAGCCCTGAGTTTTGAAGATGCAGCACCTGCATGCAGAAGGCAGGGAATGGCAGATGTGTCTGAATCATTTGGTTATAAAAGCTGGCCTCGCTTGCCTTACGGCCATCTGATGGTCTCTGGCCTTTCCTACCTGCTTCACAAGTTCATTGACAGTAGTGCAAACATGCTTAGCTTAGGACCATGTTCCTGTCTTGATTGATGTTTTGATAAATCACAAGAACCTTCGAATCAGCTGAAAGTGACTGCATTCTGTTCTGCATCAGAGTTCCCCGGTAACATAGTCCCAATGTGACAAGACTAACATAGGAATTTTCTTTCTTGACAAGGTAGAGAACAGGGAGGGCAGCTCTGGTTTTCAACTGAGAATGGTCCCCTGACACAGTGTATCTATTTTCACAGTCATAGCCCTGGAAAACTAAAAAAGACAATTGTGCTCATTTATTGGAACTCCTATAATACTTTTCAGAGATGTTCTCTTTCCTGTGGCTCTGCCAGAAAGCACAAGGCCCTCATTTTGGGCAAGGCATTATTCAGTATTCTTAAAGTATAACCTTTATTCTTACAGGCCTCAATAATTAAAGAGTATATGCATTTGTGACTGGCAATCCCTGCTGCTTGCTTTTTGCTTTGTAAGTGGACAACCAAGGGGCATCTCTCCGAACCTGGCCTTGTCTCCATTCGCTGGTTCCCTGTACTCATTGTACTTCTCCAGTGGGTTGATCTCATTCCTTGTGGCTATGGCTTTGACCCTGTTACTGATGTATAATATACATCATTTGGAGAGGTGAGAGATTTAAGACAAATTGCCAGTAATAAAGTGTCAGCGATATAATTATAAAGATGGTGCCAATGGAAAAGAATCAACAGACATGATGACTTCATAGTGTTCAGCCATGTGGGGAACTGGAGTTCCATGAAGGTAAACTAAGGAAGACCCTAATTGTATAAACTGGGTAAGAACAGAAAATAATTAAAGGGAAGGTAGGAAGAGGAAACACTGGTGAAGGAGATTGTTTGGGGTCTGGTGGGGAAGGTCATGAATTCTGTTCTGAAATGCTTCTAGAATAAATGAGCTGGCATTGGAGATAGGAAATTCTGGGGGTCATGTCTGGCATGAAGTTGGAAATCTCAGAAGGAACTGAGTGATTCAGAAGTAAGGTCAGCACTAGTGAGGTAGGTTTAAGAGTCTTTGGTGTCGATGTGATAATAGTTAGATGCAAGGGGGGCATGATTGCACAGAGAGAGGTGTGCATTGAAAATAAAAGAGAAACCTTTACATTTAAGATCTAGGAGGAGAAAGATGCATGAGCAATGGAGACTGAGAAGAAACAGTAAAAAAAAAAAGCAGGAGGACAGGGCATAGAAGAAAAGCACAGTCTAAGGAAAGGATAGCTACACTAAATGTTGCAGAGGGGTCAGATATGCAGAGGAGACTGAGATGAGGATTTAGCAACTTAGAAAGATATCAGAGGCATTTGAACAAGCATTTTCAGATAAATATTGGAGATGGAAGGAGGCCCAATTCCAGGGAGTGGAGAGGTGAATGAGTGATGTAGAACCATGGGTGGCGAATATGATCTATGTGGATAGGAGAATTGCTTGATGTGGGGACAAGGTTGAGGACACATAAAAAGCCATCTTACTCTAAGGTATAAATAGAGGTGTTGAACACAAAAGAGAGATGGGGGATGATTAATGTAACAAAATCTAGGAGGAAGCCTAGCCTATCACTGTTAGCACTGAAAAAGGGTTGGAGTCCTTTCTCTTTGCAGACTGGAGGGAGTCCAGAGAGCTAGATGAAGCAATGAAGTTACATTCAGGTAAAGGAAAGGAGAGGTGAAGGAACATTAAGTTTTTCAGTGAAGTAGGAGGCTCAGAAACAAGGGGCTGGGTATTTGGGGATTAGAGAAGACTAGAATAGGTTGAATTTGCTGCCTTATGGAGCAGTATAGTCAGTTAATCCTCTTATTTTCAAATTTTCTGTTTTGAAACCTTTAATAGCCTTCTCTGTTTTAAGATGCAGCACGGGGAGAGTGGTAGGAAATGAAGGCAGGGAGGTAGAGGGGCACCAGAAGATATGTTCTTGTAGGCTACTGTGGATTCTAATTTTTATTCTGAGATCAGGAGCCATTGGAGAGTTTTCAGCAGAGGTATGACACAATCTGGCTTACATTTTCAAAGGATCACTGGATACTGGGTTGGGAACAGACTGCAGGGTGGCAAAGGTGGAAAGCTTAGAGACCAGATAGGAGGCTGTTGCACTGAAGAGAAGTAATGGCAGCCCTTGGATCATGGTAGTAGTTGAAGAGGAGGTGGTAGGAAGTGATCAAATCCTGGTTTTGTTTTGAAGATGGAACTAACAGGGTTTGCTGATGAATTGGGGATAGGGTATGTTAGAAAGAGGAATCAAGAACATCAACTGTGGGAGGCCAAGGTGGGAGGATTGCTTGAGGCCAGGAGTTCAAGACCAGCCTGGGCAACATAGTGAGACCCCATCATCTCTAAAAAAATAAAACTGAAAAATATTAGCCAGGTGTGGTGTTGTGCACATGCAGTCCCATCTACTCAGGAGGCTGAGGCAGGAGGATTGCTGACTTCAAAGCTGCCGTGAGCTATGATTGTGTCACTGCACCCAAACCTGGGCGACAGAGTGAGACCGCATCTCTTAGGAAAAAAAAAGTAAAGGGTGTTAAGGTTTTTACCTTAAACAGTAAACATCTGGAAGGATAGAATTGCTGCTGACTGAAATAGGGAAATCTTGCAAGGTAGTTTTTTTTTTGGTGGGGGGTGGAAATTAAGTATTTGATTTTGGACATGTTGAGTTTGAAATGTCCGTTAGGCCAGTGGTACGTAGACTGGCTCTGGTGTGCAAACTGTCTATGAGCAATGAGATGAGGAGCTTACACCGAACTTAAGTCATCTAGTCACTAAGCACATTGTTTAGTTCAGTTTACATTTTTTCTTTAAGAAGCCTTTCTTAATGAAGGAAGCATTGCCTTAATTTGCATTCTAGCTCAAGCCCTTATCTCCTTGTGAACAGATAACAAATATGGGGTTTAGAGTGGCCAGAGTAGAGACAAGATGTAAAGCCATGGAACTGGATATAATGTAACATCCCAGGAAATGAGGGTAGGTAGGTAAAAGGACTGAAGACTGAGCCCTGGTCATGCCAATATTTTGAGAGTGGGAAGGCCAAGCAAAGACAGTGTTTCAAGGAGGGAATGATTAGCTGAGAGGTCAGGTAAAAGGAAGACCAAAAATAAATAGATCATTGGTGACCTTGCCAAAAGCAGTTTGGGTGACATGGTAGGACAGTAATCATTTTCAGTGGTTGAAATGAAATGGATGAAATGGAATGGAACTAATGCTTATGAAATACCTTTGATATGCTAGACATTGTACAATTAAAAAAATACAAACCCTGTGAGAGAAGGGATGAAATTTATCCTCATTTAACTGGTGAGGAAATAGGCTTAGAGTATCAAGAATTTTGTGAAGGTTATGTAGCAGTATAGAGACCATGTATACAATGCTACATATTTTCAGCAACAGTTTTAGCCAGTATTTCCTTCATACTCACTGCTCGGTGGTGTTTGGTCTCAGTCTTCACTTAGGAAGACATTGGGGAGAAGTCCGAATCCAGATCTAAAAGCTATGAATGCAAAGAATATTTAAGAACGGATTGCCAAACTAAGCAGAAATCATCAAACCACACTATGCTCTGCAATGTTTTGTTGTGATACCTGATCTTTTGTATCCTTTACAAACGACAGTCTGAAGAGTTTAGTTTTTTAAATTTAGCTTCTGATTAGTTTTTGGTATTTCATAATTTAACTAATCCTTTCAAATGTTTTTTTAGTACCTGTTTATTATATCCTTTTCAAAAATCAAGTAACCATATAGTGGTGTTTTATGTCTACTCCCTGGAATGTTGAATTTAATTATATTGCAATCATTTCTATACAGTGATTTCCTCTAAGAGTTTCTTCCATAATAATTCTATACTTCTATTCTTTAGTAGCAACTCTAATATATTCACTTTCCTAGAACCTATCAAAAGGCTTTTTCTAGAAAATATTTTTTTCTCCTTCCAAAGCCTTTCTCTTTGAGTCCCCATGGAAGAAATTGTCAAGTTTTGGGGGTAACTGAAGTTTTCACTTTCTTTTTCTATGCTATATTTCATAGCAGGGCTATTCCTGGGCTAGGCAGCGTAGAGTTACTCATAAGGTTTTTTTTATTTAATTGCAGACTTTCCATAGTATTACCATAACCTAGCAAAATGTTTATACTTTGACAATCACATTGTCCTTAGGATATATCCATGTTCTTCCTGTAGAATATGAATCCTGGGAGGATTATATGCCACTATTATCTTTAAATATTCAAGTTATTCTAGTTTATTGACAGAAGATTTTTATTTTTATTCATTTTATTTTATTCATTTTCAGATGTTCGCACACAAGCCATGTACCAGATGATGGATCAAGGCTTTGTAGGACTTATTTTTTCCTGTTTCATAGAAGATAAGAACACAAAGGTATCTTTTTGTATGTGTGTGTGTGTGTGTAAATAAATACACATACACACACAGAGTAGAGAAAAATCTCTTTGCAATTTTAATAGGGTGGCCAGGGAAGGTTTCAATGAGAAGGGTCATTGAGTCAGGACCTGAAGAAGGTGAGGGAGCAAGTCTTGTGGATTTCTTGGGGGAAGAGCATTCCAGGCAGAGGAAATAGCCAGTGCAAAGACCCTAAGGTGAGTGTGCATTTTCAGGGAACATCAAGGAAGTTGGTGTGGCTGCACCAAAGTGAGGAAGACCGTGACCATATATCCCAGTTTGCCACTGTCAGTCCTAGTTTTACCCTATTATCCTAATGTCCTATTTAGTTAGTCTCTTTGCCTCTCAGAAGTATCCTGGTTTGGAGGATAACTCATTTGATCATCCTAAATGAAGTCCAAAAGATAACTGGGGGCCAGATCTCGTGGGGCCTTGGCTTTGACGCTCTGAGTTGGGAAGTCACTGGAGGGTGACTTTATGTTTTAATAGGCTCTCTCTGGCTACTGTGTTGATAACAGACCGAATGGGGGACAGGGGATGGAAGGTGGAATCCATGGCATCAGTGAAACCAGTTAGGAAGATATTGCAGTAATCTAGACAAGAGATGATGGAAGCTTGACCACTGGTAGGAGTAGAGACAATGAGAAGTGGTCTGATGCTGCATATATTTTGATTGCTAATAATATTAATAGTAACAACTACTACCATTTGTCATTCGTTGTATGGCATGCACTTATTATGTGCCTTACATAAATATGCTCTAGCCCTGACAACAAGCCTATGAGGAATATTATTATCCCCATTTTATGGACGAACAAACTTAAGCTCAGAGAGGTTAAGAAGCTTGATCAATGGTTGGTCTTGCCATTCTCTATTTGGATTATGTTTGAATTTTATGTTTCATGTCAAGAGCTTATATATGTGTCAGTTCAAACAAAAAGAAAATTACTATTTAACATTATATTAATAGGTATGAATTCTGTCAAGAATATCAAGAGTGTCCTGTCATTTAGTACACTAGTTATATTCTCAGAATCTGTGTTACAAATGAATTTATTGTTGACTGAGTATATGATCCATCTAATGGAAGTTGATGTATGGCATATTCCATCTTTGGAATCTCTTTTAACTTTCTACTTCCAGAGGGGCTTTTGAGTTTTGTGTTAGAGTCTACTAAATTGCTATACCTTTCCCAATATTAATACTTCTTTGTGTGTCCTTTCTTTCCTTTTCTTGGTTTTTCTTTTTTTTTTTTGGTAGACTGGCCGGGTACTCTACACTTGCTTCCAATCCATACAGGCCCAAAAGAGCTCAGAGTAAGTATGACAAAGATATATGTATATATTGGTGGACTAATCTCTACCAGGGAATTGATTGTTTTATTTCATTTTATTTGTTTTGCTGGTGAGATACTAAGAACTCTATGTATCTACTTACACCCATTAACAGCTCTATTAGGAGTTAGAATCTCTTTAGCAGCTTGAATATTGGGGATCTAGGAAGCTAGGATCATGTAAACGCTGTAATTATATCACCACAGTCCTGTTCCACATTTCCCATACTTATTTTAAACTGAGTTATCCTACTACTTTTCCTTTCTTTGGTGAATCGTAAAACAAAGACTGAGTGTGCAGGGTATTATAGTTTTGTACAGATTCTTGTCTTTGCTGTGCAATAAACTCGATTTAAGAATTACAGTATCTCATTTAAATGTTTGCATAAGTCAGTTTCCTCATTAAAATGCAATTCAATCTAAATTAGCAATCTTAACTGAGTATCTACTATATGCCAAGCACAGTGGAAGGCACTGAGGATGCAGAGTTGAAAGCCAAGTTCATTGTCTTATTGGGAGATAGAAACAAAGACTGTCTTAAATTTTTTCTTACATA